AAAAAAAAAAAAAAAAAAAAAGAAAGAAAGAAGGAAACAGAAAGAAGTCAATTTTTTAAGAACCTAATGATTTCGAAGCATTATACGTCTCTTCTCATAGTTATCTCTTTTTTCTTTTTCTTTTTTTAATTTAACCATCTAGATAGTTAAATTTAAAGACGGCCCGTTGCACAAGGTATTTCGTGTTCATTCAGAACCTTCTTTAGACCTAGCGTGATCACGGATTGCTTTGTATACAAGACTGTCTTTTTAATTTAACCATCTAGTATCGCAAGTTCACTGACCCGACTAATATGAGTTTGTGTGGAGTAAACTTACCATAAGATAGAGCAATCCCCACCAAAAACTTTTCATTCCCGAGCCCGTTTGGATGAACTTATTTTAAGTGACTTTTAACAATATGTCATAAGTTAGGAATTCTAACTTTTTGACTTTTGACTTATTTTTACCATTTTAGCTTAAATTCAAGTGCTTATAAATATTTTTTTATTTTATCCAAACACTACAAAATGACTTTAAAACACTTAAATAAGCCAATCCAAACGGGCACTTATAAGTAGGGGTGTTCATGGTTTGGTTTGGATCGATTTTTTCCTAAAAAGAAACCAAACCAAATAAGTCGGTTTTTCAAATATTAGAACCAAACCAAACCAATTAAGTCGGTTTTTTATCGCTTCGATTTATATTCGTGTTTTATCGGTTTTTCGGGTTTTCCGGTTATTTATCAATTTTTTCATAAATATGATACATACACTACCAAATACATATTCCGACAACTACATTTTTAACGTAACACTATCAGATGAATTGCCCGGAAAATCTATCATTTACCAAGATATATTGATGATAATTGAATCAAATAGTGATAAATAATTTAAGGACTCATAAAAATAGATTATTTTTAACATGAAATAAATTCTTATAATTAACAAAAGAAAACTACCAATCAAACTAGAACGCAAATCATAGAAATGTAGTAAAAGTGCAAAACATTAACATTACAATAAAGTTTTAGCAACTAAAAAGCTTTAAGAAAGGAAAAGTATCTTGTAGAAAAAAAAAGATTCTTTTACTGCAGCAAAACTGACCAATGAGACAAAACAAAATGGGAAATTAACTCCCCTCCACCCCCCACCCCAAAACAAAACCCAAACACACAAAAAAAAAAAAAAAAAAAAAACACACACGTCTACCCTATCCACCTTACCAACCAGAGAATCAAGGTCATAATTATATTGCATAGAATGAAAGAGTTTGCCATTGTTGGTTTTGGAATCAAAAGCATATATACATCTCTTTAAGCAATCTAACACCCCACCTTCAATTTCATAACCAAAAAAAAAAAATATTAAAATTTTAAATATGTCATATTACTTTAGGAGTGTTATCAATAATTCTACAATGGAGTGTAATATTGAAGGATAATTTGATGCACTAAGATCCAACTATAAGTGAGATTCGAAGAAGGATCAAACCATAAGAGTGTATTGTACGTAACCTTATTATACATTTTCGCACTCCTCGAACAAGTAAAATAACTAAAAACACATAAATTGAAAAGAAACAGTATATAGGAAGAAAGAATTGGCATTTGTGTGCACATACATCTCTTTAAGCAAATTAATACCCCACCTTCAACTTCATAACACAGAAAACACTTGTAAAAAGTGAGGAAAAAAAATTAGTTTTAACATAATTTTTGTGCATTATTGAAGGTAGTCAATTGTTGCAGGCCATAGAACACCTAGTCCAAAACTTAGCAAAAATTCACTAATTTCTTGCACAAATATGATAAGGAGATGGAGATTCAAAAGCTGCTACCCTTTTCTGGTTCTTCAAATCCTTGTAAAAATTCTTAATAAACTCTTCAGCATCTTTATCAACTTGAGAATTAGTATTCTCCTCTGAATCTTTTAAAGGAAATGGTGAATCAGTTATTCTTAACTGTCTAACCATTGGAGTTTTTCCAAATCCTGGTAATGCCAAAGGTGAAGCAACAGTATCATAATTTGTAGTTGTGGTATTCAACATCTCAAATACTTTCTGAACCACAGCTATTTCTTCTGGCTTATACCGATGATTTCCCCTACGTTTGTTGGCAAAATAGAGGGGGAAATTAGGGCTATTACTGCAACTAAATTCGTATTCGCGACGAGTAACAAAGGTTGACATGGCCACATCATTGGATTTACAAGTGAAAGAAGATAAATATTGATGGTGTAACATTAGATTGCTAATTGCCTTACCAGCAATTTTTCCTCTTTTTAACATATCTTGAAGAGAATTTTGTATGTCAAGAATGAGTTTGCTCTTTGATAAGCCTTTCCTCAACATGTAGAAAACAATTCTCACTACTTTCCATAATTTTTTTGCTACTAATTGAGGTGCACTTGACTCGATTTCCATTATAATCGAATAGTGACAGAATGAAGTTAAGATTCTGCTCGTGAGAGTAATAGTATAAGTCTGTCTGAATGTGAGACCGACTGGTTTCTTGTCTAAGGAGAAAAAGAGGAGAGGGAGAAGAGAGGAATGTGTTTGTTTGGTTGTGAATGAAGAGAGAAGAGGATTAAAGAGGTATATATATAGGTCTGTAAAATGAAAGAGAGTGGTCATAAAAATATTAGTTTAATAATATTGGTTTTGTTTTGGGAGAAGAAAAAAACAAATTATTATTGCACTCTCTTTCAATGATAGCGAGTGTGTTAAAATAGTATTTTAAAAAGGAAAAAAGGTTGTAAACTGAATATATTAAATCAGTCCAAGATCGGCTGCAAGTTCTCCAGTATATAGGGGAATTTTCCTACCCCCTTCTTCCCTTTTTGGACAACCAAAATAAATAATAAAAAAGTGTATTCTATAAAACTAGTCATTTAAAAAGAAAATGGAGAAGTAAGAGAGAGAAAAAAAATATATATATATATATATATATTTTTTACTGTTGTAAAAGTAATAACTAATAAAATATATATTTTTTTAAATGTGCATATTATTTATATATAATATACATATATTATATATTTTTTATTAGTAAATACAACTATTTTCGACCGACCAGCCAATTTTGTATTTTTGTCAAAAAGCTCAACAGACCAAAACAAGTTATTTAAAGAGAAAATGGAGGATTTGAAAATTTTCTATTAGAATGGGAATAACGTGTTTTTTTATTTTCTTTGATTTATTGACTTTAGGTATGCAATAAAGAGAGTGAGCATTCCATTTTTAGTGCAATAATTTCTTTTTAACTTGCAAATAACGCATTTTTTATCTTTTATTGTTTCTTGACTTTAAGTATGCAATAAAGAGCGTGAGCGTTTCATTTTGGTGCAATAATTTCTTTTTAACTTACAAATAACGTATTTTTTTCTTTTCTTTTTCTCTGGTTTCTTGACTTTAGGATGGCATGCAATAAAGAGAGTGAGCGTTTCATTTTTTGTGTAATAATTTCTTTTTAACTTGCAAAGGACTGTTAATAATTAATTCCTTCCGAAGAAAGAAAAAGAAGGGGCTAAATTAAACATGGGAAATACACACCTGTATTATTTCCCCCCCACTATTTAACATGTATATAAATTGTAAAAATAAGAACTCCAACTCAAAAAGTCCTTGCCTTTTGAACATTAGTTTGTTTTTCTACATTAAATTTGCAGTAGCTTCTTCCATCTTAATGTCTATAATAAATGGATGAACCCTATTTTTTAGATAAATTCTAGATGAATACGACACATATTTTTGTTAATTTCCATTTTATTTTTGTTAATTTCCTTTTGATTTAATTTCTCAAAACGAAAAAAATGTTTCGATACAAATATATCCACACATACATATATTTCAAAAGAAAGATAGAGTTTTCATATATTTGCATATTTGGCACGCAGTGACTTTTTTGTTCGTAGTAAGATTTTTATAACTAGCCGTTGTTTTCTTTCATTGTTGATCACCTTCTAATCTTGTTGTTTTTATTCTGCTTTTATATGAGTTTTTGTACTGTTCCTTCTTATCTATATTTTCATTAATGTGGTGTTTATGCTTTCCTGAACCGGGGGTTTATTGAAAAAAGTCTTTCTATTCTCACAAGGTCGGGGTAAGGTCTGCGTATACACTACCCTTCTCAGACCCCACGATATTAGATAATACTGGGTATATTGTTGTTGTTGTTAGTGCTCGGGAACAGTTAGAAACAATTACTGAGACACACTATCAAATAGTAAAATTGACTCAATGTGAGACTTAAATTTGCGCGCCTAATTGTAGAAGTGGGCCAGAAACATTCATGTGTGGAATTGTGGTGGAAATTTCTTTAATTGGATATTTTTTTGGAACATTAATTATTTCGAAGTTGTTTAATATATTACTAGAAGCTGTCTTCCAGCTTCGAGGATATTTTAATAGAACAAATGTCAAGGTTCCACCATATATCCCACTGGTTTAATCATTAAAAATACTTAGAGATATCCAAAAAAATCAAAAATTAGCACGACTTAAACACTTTATGATTAGTAATAATGTAATATAGACAAGGCTTGCGTTTTCAAGTATTGGAGTAAAATAATTGCATCATTGTCTTTCTTCGGAAGTTAGCATGAATTTTGTTTGACTCAACTATTTTCTTTTTTTGGATGGAGGAGCTTGAAGTAAGAGAAAGAAAAAACTTAGATAAAATCAAATACTAGATGAATATGAAGTTTTGGGTTCAAGTTTAGGAATGAAATAACTTTTTGTCGAGAACGCTTCCCCTTTAATAAACCTTACGCGGCGAGAATTCGTATTAGTCAGCAATAGTGAATCCACAGTATTGGTTACAAGTTCACGTGAACCCAATAATTTTTGCTCGTATCTTGTATATATATTAAATTTTTTACAAAATATTTATAAAAATATGACTGTAAACTCAGTTATTATAGTAATGTTAACTTAATTAATCGGTGTAGGAACCCAATAAAAGAATTTCGAACACCGGGTTGGAAATCATAAAAAAGAAAGAAACTTAGCAAAAGAAATTAAATCATCATTTTCTCGTTTCATTTCTGAAGAAATCTGGGCTCAAGTTGTTAGAAAACATGCTTAATTAATACGTTTTCATTTTTAATAAGAAATTAAATAAAAAAAGAATGTTGTTCAAATCACATCATAGTACGGATGTCTTCAAGTTTATTTTGGATAGAGTAGTGTATATTTTTTTTCCTTTGTCAGTGGGTTTTAAAAAACATTTCAGGCAGGTCACATGAAAAGTAGTGGCAATTATTTAATGTAAAATGATAAGTGGTGTATAGGCACTTTTCATTTTTAATACATAATGTAATTGCGACGTAAATTCTATTTATATTTCACCTTCTGTTTACTCCCTTGTCTTTTAGAGGACTAGTGTGAATGTATGTGCAATGCGCGTGTACCCTGTATCGATGAGTATTAATTTATTTAAAATTTATGTTTGAGTTATAAAATAAAAGTGTACGTTTATGAGAATGATCAAGAATATTGTTGATAGTATATAACTTACTCATTCAAGAAAGAAACTGTCTCATAAAAATTCTCAATCATTAGTCAATAATTCAATTTAGAATTTGTTCCCACTTTATAATGTCCTAATTTTAATTTCACAAGTTATTATGCTTTCTTTTTAGTTTGAGAAATAACCGATTACCCTTGAAAACCTATATAATATAGAAGGGTAGTATTTAAAATATATCAGTATGTAACTAATAATTTACTAATGTCAAATGAATACAAAAACCAAAGTGCAATAAAAATAAAAAATAAAAAAACTAAAAAGGGATACTAAAGCAAGCTAGTGAAGGAAATGAGTACAAATGTAATATAAAAAATATTATAGTGCATATATAAAGTTCAAAGTTAGCTTGGAAGGAATTTATATGATTATTATACACTATTCAAATAAGAACAAAATTTATTGAAGATTAAATTTTAATTAATTCTGGATAAATTTTAATTAATTTCAAAATCCTAAATATAAGGACTTAATTCAAATAAGGAGAATTTAATAAACAAAATTTCAGTTAAGCTCAAGATACTATGGAGTAAATATTAAGAAAAACAACATTAAAGAATTATAGTTATTTTGCAATAAAAATTTTATGCTAAAAGAAATTTTTTTTTATGTGTCTTTTTGACAAGTAAGCTAACGTTTTGCCTTAATTTTTTTTCTAATTTTTAGTACTACCAATTATACTCGTGTTACCACTTCAATTAAGTGATTTTAATGTCATAAATACTTATTACGAATCTATAATAATATTTTAAACAAGGAAAGATTTAATATTCAAAGTATATTTAATTTTAAAGTTCTAAATATTAGGAAAATAACTTAAATTATAATTTTATTCAATGTAAAATCTGTTTTTAAAGGGTAAAAAAGGCGAATGACATTTCGTTAAGGGCATTCGTGCTTTTAATATAGTACTAGTCTTTATGTTCGTGCATTGCATGAGAAATACATACCGACAGTAATTAACTTTCAATTGCATATTATTGAATATGTACACCGTACGAAATTAGTTCCTTAAATAAATTTTTTTTAAAAATATAACATTCAAACCAAGTCATGAATAAGGTTTTGACAAATATAGGGAGGACAAATTGAAACTAAACATTCTGAAATCACAAAGTTATGCGATTAAAATTGTAAAATAACATAAAGAATGCATTATTATTTACTATTTTATGTGAAGTTATAATTATCTCAATATAAAGAATGAGATAAAGATATATTGATAATGGAGAACGATTAACACGAGAAATCAGAATATTAATCTAATAGATTTATCTGGTAAAAAGCAAGGTTACATATAATAATTTTAACATAAAGGTTCCTTAAAGTCGTTCTTCTTACTCATAGTCCTCGTTGCTTCTTTGAGTAACATAAAGATTCTCAAATCACAAATCAAAAATTTCAGGTAACCTTGCATCCGAGCCCTATTGCTTCTTGGAAAAAGCTTATCCGAGAGGAAGTTAAGAGTTTTATATGTCTTATTGAATTTTTTGTTACATCTAAATTTTTAATCAAAGAACATATATAGCACATAAACGCACCAAAAATATAATTGATCATTAATTATACAAACACAGAGCAATACGTACCCCAAATTTTTATATAGTGTATACGGTCGGAATAGATTTCGGCCCTCCCACGTTCGATCGAGTTCGAATGGTAAGCAACCGGAATGAGATATTGGGATGAGTTCCCAAGACAGTACAAACAAGCTTCGAGTTTCAAGACTGATCGAGGAGTCGGCTCGATACCATTATCGAGCCATGACCAAATCGACCCGCAAGGCAATGTAAGGGTGGTCGGAAACGCACTACACACACCCTGAAGGTCGAGCTCAAACCAAAGCCGGGGGCTCGACCCATAACGAGTTCAAGCCAGTATCGAGCTCGCAGACAAGAGCCGTTACAACTGCACTAAGGAAGAGAATCTTGGCAAGAATCGAGGAAGAGACAATTCATTATGGGTTATCCACTATATGCTTTGTTTTATTATGAATAAAGTAGGATCCCTCTACTATAAAGGGGGGAATTCATGTAA